AACTTTGGGAATCTGTTTGTTCATCTTGCCAAGCAGGTGCGTGGCAGGACAGAAGTGCCTTCTGCTCTTGCTGATGTGTGCTTAGCTGCAGAGGTCAAGAGAGCCAGATAAAGTAAACCCTGCAGGTGCAGCAGCAAGTCCTGCCCTCTGCTTGGCCTATGAAGATTTCACTCATATCCTGATCTCTTAGGCAGCTTCTTTAATCCAGTAGTGATAGCACTGGCCTGCTTTTTTTTTTGCTTTTTTTTTTCTTTCTTTCTTTTTTTTTAGCAATAATAATGATAATACTTGTTTAGCCCCAGATGTCTACACAGCTTCGAGATGGCAACATAAGTTCTTTGGTTAGGTTGTCTTCTGATCTTTGCTATACTCACGCCTGCTTTTGGCCACTAAGTGTGCACCAAGAATGGCAGGGTTCTTGTTTCCTGCTGCTGAAGGTGACCAAAAATGTTTTGCTCGTCAGTTAGGAAATCACTTTAAGCAGATCAGTGTAATGGGATTCTGGAAGCCATATGGCACTGGAATTAGTGCCTTCTCATGCAGCAACTGCATGCTGTAATTGTAGCAGTGCTGTGTGCTAGGAGTGATTTCAAGAGCAGAGATATTTTTTCCTCTGCTCATTCCTTTAACTCCTTGGGGCTTAAAACAATGCCTGGGATGTAGCCCTTTATTAAAAAAGGAGGGGGTGGGAATTCTGGTATGCTTTTTATTAGTTGGAAGAAAATAAATTGTAGTCAATAGAAAAGCCCAGTTCCAGTTTCTTAGCTGAATGATGGAATGGATGTTACCTGTAACAGCACTAAGTGTGCTCTGAAAATAAACCTTCACGTCAAGCTGCTGAAATGCTTTGTGACTTACCAGATTCATGATCTGGATGGCCATAAGGCAGAAAGAAGGTCATGGAGGTATATGCAAAAAGAATGGTGTGCTTCAGCATAGATACCAAAGAACAGTTTGAACTTCAGATAAAACATCACAAAGTATAGGGCAGTGTGAAGCTGGGGTTTCAGGGATTAAATATGCATTTATTTATTTTTTTCTTAGCTTCTATGTGTATCAATCTTATAGCAGCATTGGATTTAGATAGCCTTGTAAAATGCTGCACATAGGTGAGGGGAGCTGCTGGACGTCATGAATAAGTAAGATATATCTTGCTGACCTCACAGTTGTTTTGTTTGTTTGTGGTTGTTTTTTTTTTGTGTTGTTGTTTTTATTTGTTTTTAAATCATTGCTAGATTGGAGAGGCAGTTTTTGAGTCTCATCTATTAAGCTTTCTTGATAGCTCCTTCAAAGCTCTGTTGAAAAAGAGTTGTTTGTTCCTCTCAATTGTTTGAACAATTATGTGGGCTAAGTTGCAAACTAGGAGTGCTTTACAGTATTATTTTAGCTGCCTCATTCACATCTGCAGCAGAAGCAGACTTCTCTCCTCCATTCCTCTGGCCCATAAATGGTGTTCCCAAACTCAGTTCTTGACTCTTCACTAGAAATTTCATCCATTTTACCCAGCATCATTGAGATCCAATGTGTTTATTGCATGTTTCATGCTTAACAGTGATATTAACTACTGGAGGAGTGCTCTTTGGGGCAGAAGCATACTATTTCATGAGATGAAAGAGATATGGGGCTTAAACTGATTGAACTGTCTTGACCTGAAATTTGTGGCAATCCTTTGACCATACAGGAATGACAGCAAGCACCTTCCAGCTAGCTCCAGTTCCGAGGTGAACTGGTATTTCTAATGAAACTAGAAACTAGTGCAGTTTCTCAGGCTGTTTTGGTTAATGGCATCTCAGGATATTTGGTTGTGTTTTTTGGTGGTGTTGTGGGGTTTTTTTCTTTGGATTTTTTAGTAGGTTGGTGGTTTGTGGGGTTTTTGTTTGGTTTTTTTTTCTGATGACCCTTCCTTATATGTATTTGCTTACTTATTCATTGACAGACCAAATCAGATGATGTAGCTATTCAATGCTGGCAATTCATGAGCAGAAAATGTCCTCTTCCTTAGCTTTTCCAAACATTTTGCTGTGGTGGTCTGGAACAGCAGCAAAGTAATGCCCTTCTATTCTGTGTTATCTATAGAGAAACCCAAGGCAGCATACTTGCCATTTTCTGTACCTGCTCCCTCCGTGATACTCTTCTGCATGCCAAGGAACAGTAACTTGCTTTCAGACTGATAGTTTTTAACCAATGGAAGAAAATAGTGAAGTCTATTATCCACACTGAGTGCATGTTTGGTAACAAGCTACATAAAAGCATTCCTGCAAGACTGCCCTTGCAGCAGGTTGTGTGCAGGTATATCCAGTGCAGTACAGAAAAGGTCATTTTTGTGTCAGGAAATGGCGCAGATAATTTTTTGCTTCTGTGTAAGAGGTTTATGATACATGCCAGGAGAAGCTAGGCCAGCTGCTTATGAAATGTGAATGAAATTAAATTTACAGGAGAATAAACAGACCCTTCTGGCAGCACAGCAACCAGTCCCTGAGCTAAACCTTGTGTGCCCTGTTGCTAAATATGTAGCAGTCACAGTCAGCTTTTTGCCTGGAGCTGGGTGATGGCAGTGGTACCCCAGCCATCTGAGATGTGTATTCAGCCTTGTAACAAATAGATGTTTCCTGGGGAAAGACTGAGAAGTAGATTATTTTAGATAGTTTTCCTAATGGATTCTGTGGCTACGTGTGCTTTAGAAGCTCGCACCTAGGGCAGATCTCTTCTTGCATCCTGCTTTCAGCATCAAGTCTCCCTGGCCAGAACCATGTGGCTCACAGATCCCCCTGCTGTTAAGCCTTGTGGATACTGGTGGGAACAGCACATGCAAGGGAGGATGGCAGCCAGAAGTGTATTGTCACTATTGCTGGATTCTCCCCACTGTATGTATATGACTGTCTATCTTGTCCTCCATTGTATATCTATGTGTGTATTTCTGGGACTGGACTAGACTACCTTTAAAGGTCCCTTCCAACTCCATGCATTCTATGATTATATATATATGCAAGATTGAAATGTAATTATTTTGTGTATGTCAGACATACACAAGAACATATTGCCAGAAAAGCTAATTTTCCAAAGTACATCAAGTTTGTGTATGGAAGGAGACATTGAGCCAGTGACAAAATAGAAGAAAGGCTTTAAGATAAAGCTGCTGGGTTGTGTTTCTAGTGCTCTTATCTCATGATGAGTTTGCTGCAAATTAATTCTGCCTTCTGTGCCACTGCTCTCCCTATCTGCAAAATATTGCAGTCCCCTGGGGATTTCTTTATGGAAGCTCTAATAAATATTTTACAAATGCTAATGAAACAGGTCACTGAGCAGCTCAGTGTGTTATTGTTCTCACTTTGCAGGCAGGGTTTTGGCAAAGGCAAAGAGCAGGAGAGTGACCAGCAAATGTTGGGGGGAAAGGGATCACAACTCTTTTAAGAGTGGAGATCCCCTTTATATCTTTCTTTCATCAAAAGGAGAGATCCTGAGACTCATTACTTCCCAGGTCTGGTAGCTGTTTTACTGCATGGCCAGTTTGTATATACTGGGTTGGGGAGCTGAAACAGATCACTGTGTGGCTAGGAAGCAGTGGAGCTGGAAGGGGAGAAGCTGCAGAAGTGTTTGGGCTGAGGAAGAAGTAGGTTTGAGTTGACTTCTGTATGCTTCAGCTTACAGGAATTTGTTCCTATCCATCTAGTTATTCACCATTTTAGTAATGGCATCATGGGTGTTTTTTTTTTCTCCTGGGCCATCTAGTTCATTCTGTGATATGTACTAATTGGGGTCCTCCTTTCCCACTCCATGGCTAAGGATCAGCTGAGAGGGCCATGAACAGCACAGCACTGGATGCAACTATGTGAAGTGCCAACTAGTGGTAGCAATTGAGGCAGAGGAAGGCAAACATTCCCCTGGTCTGTGTGTAAGAACCTTGCAGAAAGCTTGTTCTGTGCTCAGGTCCCAGCGGTTGAGGTCTGGTTGCAGCTCAGCCCTGATTAGATTCTCCCTGTATTCCCTGTCACCATCACTGGTCTCGTGCCTGTTCATGCAGCTCCTGTGCAGTCCCTCCCAACCCCAGGGAGGGCTCCTTTTCATTTCACTGCATCAGGATTGAGTGGTCTCTGCACTCAGTTCCCCAAGTACTAATTTCTTGACAAGGCTCTCTGATCAGTGATTTGTATTACAGTAATTGTTAAAAGAGAAAAAAAATCAAATTAAATATCCAGCACCTTCAAAGAGAGATTTCTAAGTTCATGTTTCAGATCTGTCACTTTGGCATCAGACGGATGGATCCAACTTCTTCTTTAAAAATATTTGGGTCGGGGTTTGCACAGCTAACAGAGCGTGTCTGCCAGCAGTATTTCCCTTCTGTCCTCCATTTGCTACTCTGCTCATTTAGATTAGCAGATCTTCTGAGCAGGAACTGTGCACAGCAGCAGAGGGCTTTTCTGTACAGTTGCAGCCTCCCAGTACCACTGCCAGGCGTATGAGTAATTGGTTGAGCAGCTCTGCAGAGCAGTCTCCTTGCACTGTCCAAGCTGAAATGCAGAAATCCATTCTCAGTGATGAAGAATCATAAAATTGTAAGCCCAAAAGAGACCAAAAATCATGAAGAATAACCTTTTCTTAAAGAAAAAAATCTTTGTGAACATATCTGGCATGCTTTTTAAGAGACATGCTGAGATCTTGCAACGTGCTTCTGGGATCTTCTGTCTTTGTCTTTTATAAGAGCTTTAAATTAATGATAAGGAAGCCATTCAGGGCACAGGCTGTGCTGAGGTTCACAGCTTTCATTCTGAATGAGAGAATAAAGTAAACTGATCTTGAAAGCAAGGAGGGAGAAACAAACACAGTCAGTAAGCCTATAAAGTCTTAACCAATTGCAATGGCGAACATCCTGCTGGGGAGAGTGACCTTGAATGAACTAAGTGGGATAAAGTCACCAGCCTGGACTGACGGCTGAAGAATCAGGCTGGATTCCAGCAGACCCAGAGAGCAGATTCCTGACAAGAGTCTCCTGAGCTGTGGCAATGGCTTCTCGGTGTCAGAAATGTGGACAACAGGTGCCCAGGAATCCACCTTTCACTGCTGTCCGGATAACAGAAGGAGAAATGAAATCTTATCATGATTTTATAGGAGGATGCATTAGACTGGAGCACATGGTAAAGAAAGGTATGTGCAGCATCTTTAAAAGAAACAGCATCTTATCTTAGTGGTAGCTGCATTGCATTCTTAGGAGATTAGCAAAAAGGGATCATTTTTCTAATGCTTTCTCTGGGATTTGGTGGTAAATACAACTGGCTGGCTTTGGATATTAACTCAGGTATCAGTGCATCACTTGACATGGCTGTATATTTGCAGTGACTTGACCTAGAGGAGGCTAAGATGAATGCTAGACTCATTCTGGATAAATGTTTATTTCAGTCAGGTATTAGACAGTGAGGTTTCTGTATGTGTCTGGAGCAGGTATTTTCTGTGCATATAAAATACCTTTTTGAAAAAAATGTAAGGAGATGGGGCAGTGGGTTTTGTGACCCAGTTGACCCTGACACCTCTGCTGCTGAATGACTACAAATAAGGTCAATATCTTTCTCACTTTAAAGATCCTAGTTTCACTGTATTCATAACAGAAACTTGAACTAGCGAGCATTTTTTGCTCTGTGTGAGTTGGTCTGGCTACAGGGCAGTGTTCCACTCTGAGCTGTGTTGCTTGTATAAGATCCTGATGACCTGGCAATTTGTGCTAGCTGCATGTTAACTCTGAAGTGGAGTGATGGTAGTTGAAATTGATGCTGTTGGCTCTAGTTAAGATTGCTGAGTCATAGAACATTTTTTCTCTGTGTTATTCAAGAGAAAGATTAACCAAGGAGCCCTTTGGTTTCATTGCTCTGTTACCTTGAATAAATTCCTAGCAAACCTCAAACCCAGATATTTATAACATGTTCACAAGTGCGTGAGAGGAAGATCCCCAAAAGCTTGCAACTTTCAAGTTGAATTCTTTATTGTGATATAATTAGCTCTTTAGCAAAAAGAGTTCCATTCAATCTGTTAAATAGAGAACATTCTGCAGAAAGAGGTAGACCAGAAGCAGGTCATCTGCTGGCAGCTACTGCTTACAAATTGGGGCTTGCAGATGCTTTCTGTCATAGGGCTCTAATGCACAATGCCAGGGTTTGAAAACTGCAAAGCCAGTCCATTGTACCTCTCCTTCTGTTGGCCATCTACCCATGCTGATTTTTGGGCTCAGTGCCTACCTATGCGTTGTTCTGTTTGACTGACCTTTGGGTAACACTGATGTTTCCAGTTGCACTCTTTGTAATGAGGCACTCTGAGTTCAGCATAGCAAGGCAGAAATGTCTGGGATCTTAGTAAAAGATTTGGGAACAGAATTAATTGAAATTCTTTCCCAAATCTTTGATCAGGTGCTTCCAGGTTGCTTATGGCTCTGGGGGTCCATGGGCCTGCTGGAGGCAGAGCTCAGGCATCTGCTGTTGTTTTTCTTCCTGTAGGTAGAGAGGGAGAGACACTGGTTAGAGCTTTGCCATGGTTACTGTTCCCAGGGAAACCCCTTCCCTGCCTCTCATGTTGAGAGATGACCTGTCATAGTGTTATGGGTGGAAATCCCTTGGAAAACAATTTTCTCCTAGAGAAAAGATAATGTGTCAACTAGTCTAAGCCTGTTTTGTGAGGCAGAAAGCATCTTTATTGCTTTTGTTTTAAATTCTACCAATGAGGCCACAGGAGGGGCAGTTAAGTTATTGTTAGGGACAAGGTGCCTTCAGGTGCACACATTAAAGCTGCGTGAGCTGTGAGAACACAGCAGTGACAGCTCTACATGTGGTGATCATGTTAGAGGGGGGCTAAGGAGCTGGCAGGGTGGCACAGGGATTCATAGTAACAGCACAGCCTGAGCTCCTTTCTCCTGCTCAGAAATGACTCTGACCTTGTACTCCTTTCTTGTCTTGTTTTGGCCTTGGTTTTCTAATCCATAAAGCAGAAGCACTGGGAATTTTCTGCCTCCATAAGCACTGGATCTGGATGATGTAGCTATGACTATCCTTTCAAGATGAGGTTGGTTTCCTTTTACAGTAAGTGCTGCATGAACACGGAAAGAAAGATGATCTGTCCCAAAGAACTTGGGTTCTGCTTGCCCCAACTTACTAGTCCTTTGCTACTAGCAGACTCCTTGACAAACTCTAGGTGTGGATGTGTGCCTCTTTCTCAGACTGGCTCTGTCTAACATAGTGGCAATGCAGGATTGTGGATCTCTGTGCCACGGTCTTCCTTGATCTCACTTAAGGGTACCCTTTCTGCAACATTCTGCTGGAGCATTGTTGAGGGCTAATTGGCTAGTGCTTACTGAGTACTTCAGGCATGCCAAAATATGAAGCATTTTTCACATACAGGCTACATCTGTGGAGCCCAGTGAATATCCTGTGGCAATTTTCTCAGTACACTAAGTATCATAACTAGAACAGATGGAAGATGCACAGGTGACTACAGCAGAAATAGAGGCCATGTGGTTGCAGTCAGACCTGCAGGTAACCTACCTTTCATCAGCAGTACCTGATAGCAAGCAGTTCTGTGCCAAGCTAATCCAGTTCCTGGATCATGTATGTTCAAGGCTTCCTCTGAATCACTGTGGATCCTTGTGGTCTCTTCCAACCTGGTATTCTATAATATGTTTTGATGAGTGGTTAAAAGTGTGGTTGTAGTCTTCTGTTCAGGTAAAGAGATTAAAATAGTGAATGCTTACAAAAAGGAAGTGCCACTGTACAAGGGTAGCTGAAGGGCAGTTTCTCTATGTTAGTGTGATAACTGCTCAGAGTTTCACAGCCCTGGCCTCCTGCTACAATACAGGAAGGATCTTGCTGTATGAGCTGGCCTACAGGTGCTGAAATCACCTCTGGAGTCTGATATACAAATGGTGCTATTTTGAATACCAGTATGTGATCTTGAGACTCTCTGGGAGCTGCAGCTCCAAGGTGCTACAACTGACAGCCAAGGGGAAGGAGCCCTTAGAAAGCCAGGTAAGAAATGTGGCAGGGACTGCAGTTCAGAGCTGATCCTTCTTGTAGTGCTCTCAGTTGCTCACAAAAGAGATACTGAAGCTGAAAACAAAGCACAGCCTCTTGTCATTAAAAGCATCATCCTTGGACAGTGGCTTACGTGCCTTTTCAGCACTGACATGACTGCTCATGTCAGCCAGCTGTTGGTTCACATCTATCCTTGAGGATACCTCCTGCCAAAATGGCCTCCTCTGTCCCCAGATGCTCTTAATTAGCCTGGCTTCCAATGGGACCAACAGCTACTGGGGCTTAACATGGATGGATGAGCATTGGCTGGTTAGATGAAGTTTCTGCATGCTGCAGAGCCTGAGGCTTCATGCAGATGATGTATTTTTTTAAGTGAATAAACGTGTGGGTTTTTTATCTGAGCTCAAGGCTGGTGATTGTGTAAAACAGCGTAATGAATCTGCAAACACTAAGGAATATGCAGCTCATTACTGAGGCTATTCAGGATTTTGCTATTTCTGCAAAACCAGGCAACACCCTCCTTGCCAGTAGGATGGGGACCTGTCTCTTGTGCTGACAGAGTATTTCTGGTTTTGTCCTTTTGTAGGACAGAGGAATGCCACAGTTCTTCCTATCCAGCAATTGTGGGCACTTGTTCTTGGTCCTACTGCTGGAAATAAAAAGCAGTTCTTCAGATCTGCTCTTCAGGGAGGAGAAGGGACTCAAGTATTGGAAATAGTTTTAGAACAGCTAAGGATAGGAAGATAGAAAATGGCTTCTTTGGTGCTATCTCCAGAAAGAAATCCCATCTAAGTGAGATCAGCCCAAAATTCTTCAATCTTTTGGAGTTTCTGCACCTTCAATAGTGAAATAAAGGATAAATGTTTGCCTTTCCCACATGGCTGACCTTTCTACAGAGGTGCTGGTTACTGGGGAAAGTGACTCTTTCATGTGAAGCCTGAAATCTGCAGTGTAAGTGGAAGGTATTTCTAAATCCCCTGAGATTTGTCACAGTGTCCTCTTTTTCATTACTTGGAATTTTTCTTGGTTTATTTGCATTCAATATCAATTTTCTTTAGTGTAAAATGCTACCCCAGGGAGACTGGGATAAATTTTTTTCAGCTGGCTCTCACTGCAAAGAAAATAGCTAAAAAAAAAATAAATTGTTTTCCACAGGGGAAAATATTCTTATCTTAGATGCTTGTGTCTCTCTTCACCAGTTCCCATTGATATGCAGCCTGCACTGCTGCTGTTGAACAGTACTGAACCCTGTTTACCTAATCAAAGAAGTCCAGAGAATGGTGATTGAAAATAGGGAAGGCATAACTTGATTTCCATTTAAAGAGTTTTGAGAGATAAATAGTACTGAGAAGATAGAGAACAAATTCTCAGGGGGAAAGTTATAGCAGAGGCTCTCTGGGTGGTTATGTTTTCTCCTTCCTCCCATGATACCAGAACAAGAAACAACTTAGTGAAATGGAAAAGCATTAAACAGAGATAGGCAGATTGCTGTAATTGGTAATGTTTTGTTAACTTGTGGGACCTATTATCACAAGATAATAGCTCGGTTTGCTTGCTTTTGTATTGCCTAAATTGTAGTGTAAACTGGGGGGAAGATGTCAGGGGAAAGTGGTGCTGAATGTACTAGGAGGTAGTAGAGCAACCTGTACTTTCACCCTGCTAATGCCCACAGAGTTTATTCTCCAATTTCTGCCATTTCTGATGCTCCAAGCCCCCCTCAAAGACCCAGTTCTGCTGTGTTAATATGTTAATCTTGTGTTTAAATTCTGCTGAATTTTATTATCTGAATCTTGCTGTGGATTAGCCTGTCAAGTGGGGTTGCTATGTCATGGACTCTCCTCCTTCACCACCTGGACATTATCTAGTAGAATTACTAGTGCTCAAGTATAAAAGTATGATAAATAAAATTTGGTTGTACCAGCCCAGCTTTCTATACATGAGTATTTGGACTATGCCAAGTGTCTTGTTGCACACATTTTTGATCCTGTTAGTTCATTCCATTTCTCAAGGGGGAAAAAAAAATAATCCAGTCTTTTACAACAAACAGGAATTATCAATCAACACTACTTTTTCACTTTTTTCTAATCTAGGTTGTTTTGGCAACTTTGTTCTCTGCAGAGATAGAAATTTATTAAT